TAAAGAGGCCGGCCATTTCAGCTGTTGTTAACAAGTTGACTAAGGAGTGTACATACAAGCAAAAAAATATCCTGTAGGGAGAATCACTTGAGACGTCGACAGTGTCTTCAGGTCACATATCAGTTAATGCATGTCGATATAAAAGGATATGGGTCAACATTAGGTAAATGGCAACAATGCTCACATCCGTCAAGGGCTCAAATTTGAACTCCTGGCAAGAACAGCAACAGTTAACTCCGTGATTACGTTCATATGTTATTACAATGACAGCAAAATTTCACCATTTACGCCGAAACTCAATGAAAGTCGGTTTTAAAAATAATGATTACGTCCAGTGAGACCTCACAACAGTGGTCAGAGACAATAATCTGCGCAATACACCCCCACACGCCTAACAGTATAAGTGGGCGGCACGTTACAACAGCGATCATCTCTGCTACGCTTTCCTACATCTCAAATTCTATTCACTAAAGGGTTCTCTACTGGTCCACAACTCAACACAGATCCATTTCCAAGCGTCAAGCACTGCAACTCGCACAGCATGGACTCTTCAACTGATTAGTCGCTTAACTTTCTACCTCTATATTGGGTGCACCGACTGATGCCCCTACAGTTGTATCAGCTGACATGCGTTTTTGGAAAAAGTTTATTTTGTTAAGAAGTTTTTTGGTTCAAGTTACGAAAATTGCTTGAGTGAGGTCATCGACTCTTGTGAATACCTTTGGAGGAGGGAGCTCAACTCATATCAAATTACAGTTCGTTGGCTATCCGGCGTTGGTTGAGACTTAACGCCTAGGAATTCTGTTATGCAGACACAGATTAGCCTCCGCGTTTAGCTAATTTATTGCTCCCATGCCCTTTACACGACACCAGATATATCGTACACGAAATCAGGCATTTATCGACTCTGTCATCAGAAATTTACCAATGTTATGCCTAGCTATTTCATCTCTTGCCAATGGTTTACAGCATCATTGTGACTGGGCGGTGTTTCTGGGGGTCGCGCTGTGATGCACAGTGGGAGATTCTTCTCCCCGGCAGGGTCTCCTAGGCTGAGGAGTCCAGCGCTTCCATTTTCCATCACTAAGCCCAGCTAAGAGAAAACCAATACCAGGGTTTACCATCTTTCTGCCATAGAACTAGTCGCATAGTGGGAAATCTTTCGCTGATCTACAAGAGCAACGACTACCTGTGGTGGCGAGGATCTGGGGCAGGCTTTGGTCTGGCTGACCTCAGGACTCCAAGAAGCCGGAACGGCTATACGAGCAGTACTCCGAAAAAGGAGACTAACACTGAAGTCGGTTTAATTGCCCAAGTTTTAGGAATGAACTGCAACAAACAAAATGGAAGGGGTGAAAAAATACGGAAGACGTATCTCCTCCTGATCCACTTCGTGGTGAAGACCTGGATAAGCCCTTGCAAGGTTATGCGATGACCCTAGGGAGGACCAAGTAGCACAACCAGCAACAGGCCAGCCTGAGTACCTCGCGCGCTGGATGCTCTCGTCTATGACGTTAGGTGGTTAGACGACCAGTGAAAGGGGACGAAATCTCTGTATACGACGAAAACATTCTGAACGAAGTCCTGTCCAAACGTGACTGGCAGATTAACGAAGACCCGACCGAAGACTACGAGCTGCTTGTCGAAGAATTGAAAAGCTGTGCCGAATTCGTCCCAGTTCCTTAAGCAAGGAGATCGGATAGAATCTACATCACTACTAAGGAGTTGCTCGAAAAGAGAAGGAAACTGAAGCTTGATCCTACTGCAACACATTTAACACGGCTAGTAATAAATCCCAGCTGCAGAAGAGCTTCGGAGGAAGATCTACAACGGTACAAGCAGAAGAGAATACTAGAAGCAGCAGAAAAAAGAAGCAGTCTGAAAAAGTGTCGTCGGAACTTGTGTGATTATAATGTTCCGCTGTCAGTTCCGATGAACGAAGATGGGATCGTCAAAACTTCCCGCCATGATTTGGAATTAATAACGGGAACATTCTACGCCAACCTTTTCAGCCCCACACTACTGTCCTAGACCCTAATATTCTCCCTGAAGAAAAACTACCTAAAATTGTTCCTTTGAAGGTTCGAGTTTCGATAGAAAGCATGAAAATAGGCACGGCTCCAAGACTCGATAATGTAACCGCCGATTTTCGCGAAGCTAGAAGCCACAATTTGCTTGTACTTCTCGCAAACCGTATGACAGTCTTCCCCCAAAAGGAAAAACTGTCAGACCGGTGGAGAACGTTGTGCACATTCATCCTACCTAGGAAAGGCGACCGAAGGGGTCTTCGTAAGTATCGTCCGATATGCTTGTTGAGTAATTTTCAGAAGCTCTTTACGAATATTATCCTGTCGCGCATATCAAGGTCATTGGATGAGGCGCAACCAGTAGAGCAAGCAGGATTTCGAAAAGGATTCTGCTTCGCGGACCACATCCAAACTGTGTCCAGAGTCATCGAAGTTTGTCGGGAATACCACCTGCCTCTAGTCCAAACCTTTGTCAACTATGAAAAAGGTTCGACAACGGCGAAACGATTTCAATCATATATAATCTACATAAGAACCCTAACTGACTGTTATCGGAACTGCACCACGAAAATACAGCTTTTCCATCGACCTCTTATCATACCTATAGCAAAAGGGGGTTCGACGGGGTGACACAATATCGCGAAAGCTGTTTAGTGCCGTACTGCAGTGGATAATGAAGTTGCTCGATTGGGATGAGAAAGGCATTCGTATTGATGGAATATACCTATCAAACCTTAGTTTGGCCGACGACATCGTCATCTTCTAGGGAATATCGAAGGCTATCGAAACAGACACGATGATCAATGAGCTCAACGAAGTTGGAAAAAAGACCAGACTATGCATTAATGGGAAGAAGACCCAGTTCACCAGTTCTTACGAATTCCTGTAGTAAGCCCTTTTCTGTTTTACTTATTACGTAATCAGTTCTATAAGCACTTAGAGCTCATCCAAAGTGGTTACAAAGTTCTACATGAATCAGTAAAAAAGTGAATAATAAATGATGTTTTAATTGGGTTTTAATCCTGATTGAGGGCTTTTGGTAGAGCTAAAATTTGGTCTCTCTGAGTATAAGAAAAATCTGTAATACCTATTTTTATCGTAATGCGGTCTTCCACAAGGTAGGTTTTGAAAAAGTATGCTGTTAACAACAGAGGTCTCGGAAAACAAACCATGCTTCATGGCTTATAAAACCTCTTTGCGGTAATTAACCCCTTAAGGATGAGCTGTGCATTCGAGCCCACATGTAGAGCAATGGATTACATAGCTGATCTCTACTACGAATTGTGGCGATTTGTACAGCGGTTTGACTTTAGTATGGAATACGTCGGCACAACGAGTAGATGGTCGCCCTTGGAGAGATCTGCATCTTCGCGAAATCCACTCTACGTTTCTTTTGTCTATCTGTCGCCTGTTCTTTTTATTACGTGACCGGTCCAAGTCTCCTTCGCTATTTATGTATACTTTCCAAGATTCCGAAGACGAGAAGGCTTTCGGGAATCTCAGCCTCGCATTCTGCTTTGATGTTGTGTGTGTCGGGTATACTTGGGAAGATATCGTTTATGTGCTCTATAACCACTGCGCCGCGTTTTTGAGGTGGATAAATTATCACCTCACGTCTTTCGTTCATGAAGGAGCGCTGGGGAACTGTTGAATCGAAAAGATGAGTGCGCAGCTTTAGACCCGCTAGTCGGTCGGTAGCTTCATTGAGAAATCCGGATGCGGCCCATGCCACTCTCCTTCTACCGTCTAATTCTTCCTTCATTTTATTATCTATGTTCATTGAACGCACAAGGTACACGTGCGCGCTAGTCTACCATTAGTGAGCCATCTAATTCAATCTATTTACTTCGTACAATATGGGTTTTCCATGAATGAAAAAAAACAGTCCACTTTTATGAAATGCTGAGATATTTGCAGAACTCCGGACCGCAGATGTATGCTGTGGGGAACGAACGCGGTATTGACCTTACCGGGGAGTAGCGCACTTCACCACCACACCATCCGGGTCCTTCGCTTTGCCTGTCTCTCAGCTAGTTCTATCGATCTTTTGCCATTAGCAATCACCCGTCAACGGGATTGATCTAGGGAGCTCAAATCGGCAATGAACCCAGTTAAGCTGAGGCTTAGTTATAATCACAATCTTAATCCTTTTATCCCTTTATCAATCCCGTTGATGGGTGATTGCTGATGGCAAAAAGATCGATAGAACTAGCTGAAAGACAGCCAAGACGAAGGACCCGAATGGTGAAGTGCGCTGCTCTCCGGTAAGGACAACAGGGCGTGTTTGTTCCCCACTGCATACACCTGGGGTCCGGAGTATTGCAAATATCTCAGTATTTCATACGACTTATATTTCGCAACATACTCTGCCATTAAGAAGAAAAAGGCAGTAAATAAAAGGGTTAAGACAGTCCACTTTTCTTTTCCTCTCGGTGAATTTGGTACTGAATTCTCGATCCCGGACAAATGGAATGTTTGGCAGGCCGTCCTCTTTAGGTTGTTTCGAATAGCTTCTTTTTCTTCTTCGTGTACCGATGTAAGTACTCCTGCAAAGATTCCCTCCACACCGTTACATCCGTGTTAGGCATGTTGAATTAGGATCAAGCCTCAAGTTTCCTCCTATTGAGTCTTATTGTGGCTTGACTTCATAAATGGAGCACTGTTATCCGATCAATGTAGTGACCGCCGACGATAGCATCTTTTTTAGTGATTGTAAAAAATCAAAAAAGCAGTAACTCGGCACTATTCATAAAAAATATTCATTGATCTAGGCATATTCTACACACAACACTGCAATAGAATTTCATTTAACCAGTGTTCATAACCCAAATACGAAGGTAAAGTAAAGGTTTGGGACGAAAAACGCGGGTGATATCAGCAAAGAACTCTGTGTTATTTTTGAGAGCGTCGCAAACAGTCTTTCGTTAGAGTAGCAGCAATTAACAAGGTGGAGAGTTGTCGGGAAGAAAGCTTCTATTCAATGCATAGCAGGTTGTTGTCGCCACCGAACCCATTGGGTACCTTGGTGTGCAATGACGATGTGAGCCATCTGCCATCAACCAGAAATCGGAATTCATGTCTGAAATATATTATTTCCAAAGTAAGCCAAAATATTTAAGATTTCCTAGTGAGAAGTTGCTGGATGTGAACTGATCTGCTTCGACACATTAGTGTCTCACTTATACAACGTTTCACAAACTGTTTGAGAAGTAGATTAATTTCAGTGGACAGAGATTATACAATAATAACTTTTAGGGCAGAGGAGACCAACTTCCATTACAATTATCCTTTTCCCCTTCATAATGTGCAAGTGGCACCTTATGGCTCTGTGCTATATGCTGTCTCTAAAAACTCTTCAAAGATTTCCGAAAAAAAGAACAAACAAACTAGAATTACATGTAAATTGCTCGTAGCGCACAACTACTTTTTGTTTAATTCAATACCACCGAAGAATGTAACACACCGTAGAATTTACAACTAACTATGTACGTACCTCTGTCATATTCAAAAACACTTCAGGTGTTTTACCTACTCTGCCCGTCGATCATTCCACTATTGGTCAACCAAATGCCAGAGAAGCTTACGCTAATTCGATTTTTGTATTAAGGCACCCAAGGGTCTATAGTTTGAGTCAATAAACGAGTTCTCGGTTTTTTAAATACAACAAGCGCTTACCTGCCACGAGGCAAATCCAAAGTTACACCACTTTTTCCTTCACCAAGCGGATCACATCTTAACGCCCATTTCCAGTCGAGAAATGATCCCTAAAACAGAAAATTACAGTGCTATTTGAACGGTACAGATGCGCTGCATCGTCCGACACGATTCTACACAAAACTATGACGGATGGTTCCCTACTTAGACAACCTAGTAATATGAAATGGAGGATTTGAGCTTGAAAACTTCGAAGAAGAACATAAAAGCGAGAAGAATCCGTCGACCAACTATAACTAGAACTGTTTCTTCGCGCTTACCCGTTAGACTCAGCACCTTTTCCAGGTGGATGATTAGTCAATAAGAAGTGGGCTGAAATCTCATGAAATTTGTAAATTTCACTAGAAAATTATGGTCATGCGCTGTGGAGTGGTTAGAGGTTACGTGAAATACACACACGGCTGGTGGTAGGACGGCACACCTCCGGGGCAATGAAGACCCTATTTCAATGGGGTGGAGAAATTGCTACTAGATTTGAATGGGATAGTGAAAATACTGAGTTGATATACCGAGAGGTTCTCTTCACGTCACTGTACTGGGTAAACGTGCTCCCAGTCACCTCTGTAATTTTGCGCAGATGGCATATCCCTATAGAACTGATCAATACCAAATACAACTCATAACTATAGAATAGGTGAACGATCCGTTCACAGACGCTGACGATATACGCAAAATTGGGACAGAATTTAGAGTTAAAACTTTTGCAAAAAATCTGTTATTTCTGAAAAACGAATTATACGAGGTATTTAATGTGGCAAATTAAGTGAAGTGGTCATGATTACAAAACTTCCAGGTAAAAAAGTGTAGTTCGAACCCAACGACATATGTGAAGTAGACCACATTCATGGTCTGCGATAAGGAAGAAAGGCACCGAATAGAAATTGCGCTAAAGAATGCACGATTTGTGAAAAAGAGCCACACCGACATTGAAGTAAAAAAGAATGTAGCATGTCTTTTACAGCTGACTAAGAAAATCAACAAATCGTAAATGTTACCATAAGAAAGATATCCTGTTGATTTCCATGTTCTATTTCAATTTTAACCCTTTTAGTCTCATATGCTGACAGATGCGAGTGGCATAGAGGAGTGAGCGCATAAACTGGTGATGGCAAACTATAAAAAAGAAAACTGATCTATGCCATTGATTGCAAATTCAAAGTTTTGTTCCATATAGGAAGCAATGTTTCGGTAGGTTTCAATTCATATAGACTAGCCCATTTTTATTCAAAAAGATAAAACGAAGTCTTTCCGACCAAGTATTGGCGAAACGCCACTGATTAATCTGGCTGACTGAATATGAGGATGGCGGCATCACGAATGTTGTGGATGGTTGCGGTGATCTGAAAACAATAGATAATATAAAGCTCGAGATCACATCGATATGAGACAGTGAATAAAGCATCTTATATTTCCGAACAGCTTCGTTATTCACACTCTGATGTAGCGAAAACAGCGCGCCGTCATTGTTATTCTAATACTTCTTGCCGCTAATGATAAGAACTCTTTCAGATGAATGAAAGCATAGAAGCCAGCATGAACACAATTTTTTAAAACCGATCCCTACCTCATCTCGATACAAATAATCAATATCTCGGTTTATTCGATTCAACTAAAACTACTGCAGTTCTGAAGAAGTGATAGCACAGAAATGTAACAGCCACAATAAAGTTTTGTAACAACCTCATCTAACCTTGTCAATAAACCAAGATATCACAGACAACGATTAACGGGTCAGAAAACAACATAGTAACGAAGTTTCGTATTATACCATTCAAATCACACCAACACCGCAATTCATCATACCGGCAAGTGTGTTTGGTAAAGGCAACAAGAAAGAAAAACAGAATCTCAACCCAAACACTAGCTGAAGTTTGTTATTTCACTTCAACCACAGGATAAATTTTTACCTTAATGCTGTGACGAGCCTAAAAAATAATTTACACGTTCCCTTTACACGAACCCATTCAGAGACGCCGATTTATCGGGCAATTCTTCCGAACGACTTATCATTTTGAATGTGTACCGATTAAAGATGTACGATAAGAACTTGTAACATGTAGGATCGATTCTTGGAATCAATTTAAAGGAAAACAAAAACTGAAAACATACTGTTCATTCAAACTCTGAATTTTGGTATTTGCTGTTTCAAGCAAGTGTCGTTGATGGGCAAGACCGGCTTCTAACTCCCCAATTCTGAAACAGTGATATACCGGAACTAAACATAAAAACGCAGAAAAAAAAGCATAGGTGAAGTGACGGTTCGTGGGTGTTGACCTCGCACTAATGCACGGAAACCCGGTAAAAGGGCACCCTTTTGTTCGGAAAAAAACCATATTAACTCAAAGATAGGGAAAACTGAATTAGCGACACTCCACTTCACGTAATTTGGCATTTGTTAGCTTTCAAGCTCTTACTTCCATTTCGCGTCACTCCACCACTGACACAGCTCGCCAATTCTCCATTGAAGCCGACTGCGCTCGTCGGCTAAATCTCGTAGACGAGCATCTTTTTCATCCAACACCTGCACGGAGGCAGAATCACGAAGCTTCGACCTAACGACAATGAATCAAGAGCCATCGAAGTAAGCGTCTTCCAAAATTTAAGCACCACATATGTAACTACATACGATAGCTCTTCAGTGATACCTCTGAGACGACCGTTCTCGTTTTCCAATTGTACGACATGTTTCATTGTATCCCTAATTAATAGGAAATTGAAAATTAGTCATTGAGACTTTGTCACTAGAAGAAAACTGGAAACTAGAAAACAAAACAATTTGTTAAAATACCGGTTAATCTGCTCGTATTTTTGCCGTTCTGCTTCACTGTTCCTGAAGGACTGGTTGGCCAATTGAAGTTTCGTCTCCAATGATCTAATCTGAATTCAACGTTTAGCTGCTAAATCTACCAGCGAATTTTGCCTTTAATACTCAACAGACACCGAAAACAGTGAACCCGTTCGTTCAGATGACTGTCTACTAACTAATAATTTCTGACCTAACGTGGATTCTTTGGTTGCTCGAAACTATGGATATAGACACCTATATGTAGTCAAAAAACCAAACAATTCAAACACTGAATAAAAACTATCGCCATAAAAATAGGCTGTAACCTGAGCTTTGGCCGACTCATCAGTGTTTTCCAGAGCTGATCTCATTTTAGGAGAATCTAAATCTAGTCATAACTTTGCGAATAATAATGCTCATTGATACATGGGAACGACACGACACAGGTGATCTGGCGGTGCTTACTTGGTGGTGGTAGGGCTAGACGTTCAGGATCGCTCAAAAGGTTTAGTTGATTTTGCAGATAAGCGACCCTAAAAGTGCTGTAGTTAATTCAACAAAGTAACTGTAATAATAAGCAAGTTTTCCTTTCATGATTTTTGTCCAGAACTTTTATTATGCTAGAAAAACAATGATCAACTAAACAAATAACTGAGCAACCATTAGAAACCAATCTCAACCTAAAATCAAATCACATTCTTACTTTTCTTTTGAATTGCTTAGCCATTCCTTATGTTCTCCAAGATGCCATTCGCTTTCCTCCTTTTCTTTTTTCGCAGTTGCAAGACTGGACCGAAGATCGGCAATTACACTGTGCAGGTTGCTTAAACGACACAATTACGCGAATATTAATTTCGTTACAACGCAATACTTAAAGAGAAATGGGAGGCAATAGGCTACTAGTTTTGCTCCACTTCTACACATGACCTTCCCAACGGTTTACCGCCTCATCGTGGCTGGCAGGTGTTCCTGGATGTGAGGTTGCCATTTACAGCAGGAGGATTCATTCCCCTGAAAAGGTCTCCAAAGAAGTGTAAATCAATACCTGATCCACCACCGTCCTAGTATCAAAATAGTCGCATGATGGCAAATCTCTCTCTGCTCCACAACGGTGGTGACTGCCTGTGGTGGTGACGACCTAGGGCAGATTTTGGCCTGGCTGACCTCTGGACTCCAGGGAACCACGATGGGTAAGCCAGCAAAACTCCGAGAAAAAAGTGGAGACTATGCTGTGGCGGGCACAACCAATGAGCACGGGCCATCGGAGCATAAGAGTAAGTATGTCTATCCGTAAATCCATATAGAATCACGATGATATATACAATACAGTAAGCAGTAACCATCCACAGTAAAACAACAGACCACCAACACTTAAAAACTCACTTGATTTCTTCTTCTTTTTCCCCAATCTCCTGAATCCTGCAAAAAAATGTATCCATTAATGATATCTTGTTCTCTGCCCAAATTCGCTAATAGAGCTATTATATTCTAATAAATTCTATATTAACAACCTCGTGTCTGCTTATTGAAGAAAAAAACATTGAATAGTTCTATATCTTACCGATTTCTCGCTTCACGGAGATCATTTTGAGTAATTTCGAGCTCCCCAACTAGCTGTGATATGCGTTGATCCCTTTCGGCGATAATGGCGGCTTGCTCGTTCTGGACGTTATTAATCAACTGCGTTTTCTCCTCCAACAAATCCGCAATTTTGGTTTCAAGCAAGGCAATCCTGTAAGATTATTCCGTTTAACACATCAGTGACGATGATCACATGTTTTAATGCGCATGTAGAGAGGTGAGATGGTGACGACCTGCGGCCGACTTTGGCTAGGTTGACCTCGCGACTCCACTGAACCACAATAGCTAAACCAGCAAATTTCTGTTTTCTGCTTTCAAACTTCTGTCTGACGTGAAACTGAAGTTAACCTATCTTCTACTGAAATTCATATTAGTCACGACGCTGTTGTTCACAGTGCTCTTAGTACTAGATCTGTTTCACAAAGACTCTTTCAGCAGATTTCACCTCTCCAGACTTTGAGAGGATTATTTAAACACTGACGAAAACTCGCGAATGGTTAATGCTCGCGTAAAAGCACCTATAATGAACGTTAAACTCCATAATGCTACTACAACAGATGCATGATATAAAAACATAATGGCGAAGATGCTGAAGCTAACGTAACGATCGTAGCGCAGGAGTCAAAAATTTCCGTGTGAAAGACTTTACACGTGCTCTGAATCAAAGTCAAGGTTCTGAAAATAAATCCAATACATGTGAGCTAGCTAGCGCGTCTTATACTAGTTCATCTGAGGAACATCGTCCGTCCTGTAAAAGGTGTACGTTTGAGAAGCTGTCTATCATGTTAAACGTGACCCTTTCAGTGTTTAAACAAGATAAATTACGTCAAAACGTCGGGTATTATTTTAAAAAAGTTTTATTAACAATCCCGTTGGCACCTATTAGAAAAATATGATAGCTTGGTTGTAGTAATTTGCCCACATGAGTCAATGGTCGCCGTAGGAATTCATCGAATGGATGATTATCGATCAAGGCCACATAATAACTTTCTCTGGCTAGTAGACGACAACACTAAAACCTTTTCCCTACTTCGGTATTCAAGTACTTCTATGAATTTCTATCTCTAATGGCAGACATAAAGGATATGCTGTTTAGCACTCAGTCGTGCATAATTTCAGCAAAATCGGTGATTACATTGGAAAGCAAAAAATAATTCTAAAACTATCTCTTGGAAAAATTCAAACTTTTTGCTTTCTTCAGACAAGTCTGGTTGCGAAACGACAGTCGGATGCAAATCGCCACATCGAAGGCGCAGTTGAGCTATTTCTTCATCCTTTTGCCTCAACTCTTCGTCTTTTTCGATGATGCTATAATAAAAGCTCAAATAATGATGCACTCCTTCAAAAATCGAAAGAAACAAAAGGACACCCACGTGAGTTTGGCCATTTCAAGGGCATCTTGCTGCTCACCATAATCTTTACGATCATCTTCACTTTCACTTAATGGCTTCACGGATTGTTCACTGCAGAAAGACTACATGAAAGTGCTGTATTCAACATTTAGACTAAACAATTTGCCATATCAAAACCACATGCAGACCTAAACATCTGTTTAATAACTTCCTAGTACACCTCGCCCCATAGCGAGAACACAACTCGTGCGTAGGCAACGAAAAGCAATTGTGTAGCTGTCTACTTCTATTTTGAAGATTCTGAAGAGCCTTAATAAACCGTCTCGATTCAAGGATAGATGGCAGCCGTAGATCTTCAGGCTTCGAATTCCTTTTTGACGTTTTTTTATTTCCGTTGCGTCACTATATGAAAACAAAGTGTTTTCAGCAGCAATTACTTCCTACTATATTAAAGGTAATTTAGGAGAACAAATTTAAAGACTAAATTTTCAGCAACTATTTCTATATTTAATTGCAAGATGGTCAAGAATAGTTATTACTTTTCTTGCACATGAGACTTCTCAATAGATTGCTGGAGTTCGAGGTTATGACGCATTTCATCCCGCAACTCTTCTTTCAGTTCTTTCATCCTGCAATAGAAAGAAAAGCAGCTATCTATTTATAGCTTAAAAATTTCAGCAACTGTTTCTCACTTAATGACACTCAAATTCAATACGCCAAGGGTGAACAGGAGAGAAAAGCAGCAGCTCTTGCAGAAACTGCAAAGATCGTGAAGAACATACCCACTGCCCACTGGGAGTTCGTCAATTACAAGACTAAAATGACATTCTTCCAGCGCCAAGACGGAATAGTGCATTGCCTCCCAAAGGACGACAGAGAAAACCTTCTATGGACTCCTAATTGGGTACCTTCGAAAACCATGACCAGTAGTTTCAATGTTATCTCGACAAATATGGATGCCACAACAGTGCTCCACTCCAAAGACCGATATTTGATATCGTCACTGTATAACAGTGCAGCACACGTCAAAAGTCACATATCGGAATGTAATGATTGTAATGAAAATCAGCAAGTCCGCCTTGTCATACATTAAACGACAGTTACGAGGTCAACTCTAAAGGATTCATGATGGAGATGCGAGTGTTAAAGCTTAGAAGAGTTGAGAACGACAGCTGAAGAATGCTAGCTCACAACATCCTGCTACCGTATTTCGTGGTTGGCCTAAGCGATTGCGTGCAAGTTTTCGTCGACTGAGGATTCTTTGGTTTTTCGACAATAAAAAATAATTTTTCAACAGCTAGAGTGCTTCAGGGGTTGCAAGCACGACAGAATTGTAGAAGAAACTTTGCTCTATCGTTCCATCTGTTTGAATGATGGTATGCCGTTATTTATTCTGCGTTACTATGGTCCATTATTTAAATGCATTGCTGTCAGCATTTCGAAGTATTTTGCATCACATGCTGAGTCCATTTCGGTTTCGGTGTTTTTTTATACCCACACATTTTATACGATGATCGTGGGCATTAAAACGAAGGAACAGTTTAATTATTAGCATCAGCCAATGAACTCTTTCAGAATAAAGGTTCACGTAAAACACTAAATGTACAGAATTATTTTTCTTATCACACTTTGACCATTTCGATCTGCCTTCGATTAGCTACAGAATGAGTACTCTGGTAAAAAACTTTGAAACCAAATGAACTCAATACAGACACTATAGTTCCCATATTTAACGCTATGGGTTAAATAATATACATACACGCAAAATGGTTCAATAGCGAAAGCGATACAAAGCTCCGGAAACTCCGTCGAGTTTAAAAATAAAACCAAACTGTAAAAACTGGCCGCACATGAAATGAAAGAAAAAAGAATTATCGTTACAAACCATACTCTGCACCTCATTTGAGCAGAAGGAAAAGACTCATCAAATAGGTGGTTAAGGTGACCTAAAGTAGATTCGATGTACTAGCCGACGTATCCCAAAATGTTTGGACAAAGCTGAAGCACTGAAACACTTTCCGAAGCCAAAACTGCATTAAGAGGGTTACGATAATTGTTTGGTGGTTACCATGAATAATCACCATGACTTTGAATATCTTGACTCAACCACTACTGTACAGAAATACTGTTAAGAAACCGACGAAATGCAGTAAAAACCGCAATGATAAGTATATTTGTGAAACGAAATGGACAAATTCTGTACAAGAATACTCCGCACTACTCACGAAGCGCTCGAGCGATGTCTACTGAAATATAACCGGCACTCTCGATATCTAGCCAGAATGCGAAGCTCTGACCTTCGAAATCTGTCACAACTTCGAGATCCAGGAGAATACACATCGACAGCGAAACATAGATGGGTCGGTCATATAATGAAAACAGACGACAGATGGACGAAAAGAACAGTAGAGTGGACTCCAAGAGAATGCAAACGCTCCATGGACGACCACCTACACGTTGGGCGAACATGTTCATAAACAAAGTTAATCAGCTGCACTCGCAGCTGCAGTTGTTCTACTGATCGCGGTATGAGACTCGCAAGCGCTACCATGCTCGAACAAGACCACCACCATGGACTACGATTGCGAGAGAAAGGAACAAATGTTATATGTGCTGGGGTCCGCACAGCTCGTGAAGACGGACCGTTCAAGTATCCAAGTAGGTATATATATATATATATATATATATATATATATATATATACATATATATGTATATATATGTGTATATATATACATATATATGTATATATACATATATATGTATATATACATATATATACATATATATGTATATATATGTATATCTATATACATATATATGTATATATACATATATATATACATATGCGTGCGTTTACATGCGTATAGATACATATACACATATAAACCAACAAATAAGCAAATATGTGTACGCACATATACGTTGGTTGGAATTGCTAAAGCAGATACTACACGGGAAAATGAAGCCGTCTTCATTCTAAAACATCAACACCATACCTCAAAAACATGTTCGAAAAAATCAGACCGAACTTTTTCTTCTGAAATTTAAGTTATAAGCAAGAGCAACCCCTTCAACGATCACTATCTTAGCATTGTGAAGGATGTTGCTTACTGCTGAACAGCGACCTCGCCACGGAAACCGGCACTGATGGCTCTCACTACTGTCTAGAGTGTAGTTAACACAACACAGCGACTATGAGCGTGTACAGAGCCGTCCAGAGACAACTCTATCATATCGAAAGGATTGACAAATCGATGATAATATTAGTGAAGGCGAAGGCTTTTCCAATTATTCCGGACTGGAGTTCGCTACGCAGCATTTTTGTCCAATGAGACCAGATCAGGGAGATCTTCCACCTGTCGTCTTTATGGAAGTGCTTTAACGAGAACTATAACACTCATTAATTAGTGGCGCTCGTAACAAATGCTGCACTGGTGTTCAGGTGAAAGGCAAAGGCATAAAAAAAACGGTAAAGAATGATGACTGTTGCTTGTCGACCACTCATTTCGACGTTGGTTACCCCGCTATGCAAGTGAATTTTAAACCTCTACTATGGAGCAGCGTACAACATAATTCAATGTAATACACTCCAGCAGGGTACAAATTGGCTTTAAACTGGAGAAAAATTTAAACAGAAATTGGTTTCAAATCTCGAACCAACCAATACTATGAACCAACCTCCGTAATTACTCTAGTGAACGGCTATTTAAACTGCTCAACAACTATAGTAGTTTTCTATCAGCTTATCACAGCTGTCAAAGGAAAAGGACTCGATAACTCAACGCCATACAGCCAAAACAGTTCTCTACCAATGAATTGGAACACTTCAATCATACAAACTGGAGAAGAACCAACAAGCCGTCATTGTGAACATTTTTAAAACAGGATTGTTAGAGCAGAAATTATGTCAAAGAGCTCAAATGAATAACGAAACGGTTAGAGCTACAAAAGAAATGGCGAAGAGGCATTATTCACGAAAAAAAACCATTGGTATGAAACGCTGACAGATCGACTATGTGATAGAGGCTGCCGACGACAGAGGGACCAGAAGAACGAATTGCAGAACGATGTTAGATACAATGGAAGATATCATATTGCAATGTTTTTATAGCAAACGCTGTCCAGCTTTCACTAGAAGCTACAGAAGCTACACGCTGATTCTGGATTAGACAATGGTACTCGCAGAGATCCTGAAGTTAAAAAAGAGATAACATCCAGTTCTGCCGATGGTGCCATTAGAAAATACAACAACGGATGAAAAGTTCAGCGTATACAAAGCAAACTCGCCTAAAAATACGAAGACTATTGACATAACGAACTTAGAAGCTCATACATCAATCGAAAAAGCCGTAGGAGAAAGTATTTTCCGCCATGCCAAATTCTTATGGTCGAAGTCACTACGAAACCAGACTGACTGACTGAGTACAGAACACGAGAAAAAGGAGGATACGATGTCTAGATGCGGACACAATCCACGTAAACTAGACATCCACATAGTAAGTACGTCTGTATGTTTTCAAAATCTGAATACTTAGAATAAACAAAATTGACGTCAACACATACCTCAACTTGAGCTCCTCATTTGCATCTAACAATTTCTCAATTTCCCTGTTCTTCTGTTCAACAAGTTGATTGACGGCGTTGTTGTCGCTCTGCAACATCTATATACTTACGTACCGAATACTTTTCATTGAAAGATTTCTTCCCACTACATAAAGCGAAGAAACTGAAATAAAAACAGGAACAACACTGATGCATGGATTGAAAGACCTTCGGGTTTTTTTGGAAAGCTTGGTATAAAGAACGTTAAGGAGCTAAAATCTGCCAATCGAATTGCTGGTCCAGCAACCTCGATGAACTGCTACACCCTGGGTAAAATATTTCTAGCCTTATGTACCATTCACTCAAAACCGAACACGTAGGACAAACATCGACACTTCTCTATCTCTGAAACTATAAAGTACAAATCAGTAAGTTCGATATCTACCTCATCGCTGATGTGCACGTTTTCCGGCTGAGCCTCGAAACCGCTTTTCACTCCTCTGGTTCGTGAACTGGTACGAGTCGCCTTCTCAGCACGCGGAACTTTTGCTCCATAAGTCAGTCCCGCCGTCGCTGAATCATTTTGTGTTCTTTAGGAGTCTAACACCGGAAGAGATATGTTCAAGACAGTAATACTTATAGAACGAAGTAACTACTGGAAGCTATGAAATCAGCAGGAATAGTCGCCTGCATACAATTATAGTACAAAGAATCGTGCTAGCATTAAAACCCTGCAAAGTAAAAGACTTGAAGAAAAAAGGTAATAAGGAGAAAAAAAGCGCTGTTCTAGAAAAGAGATTGATGAAGGTAAGAAAGAGGATTTTGGAGAATTCCCGAATGATTGCGGGGATTCGCCTCCGCTCCGATCTTTGCCAAGTATATCTTGCAATGTGTCTGCTAGTCGATCAATAAACATGGTTAGTGCTCTACCATCATTTGTTCGCAGTCATATGTACCGACCACTTCTAACTTCTTTTTATTTACTACTAAACAAGCGTAACTTTACAACGATGATAAAAAAAAGCGTAGTGAACTGACAAGTTTCCAGAACATTAAATAGTGTTCTATGATCTGGAATAACTATAAATCCTATAATCTCAACAGAAATAAGCTCCAACATGACGTAAAATAAAGATAGAAGAAAATTACTAGTAACTGGATTGGGCTCGTTCTTGTTGCATTATCGTGTCGCCAAAATGTGGTAGCTGACCGCAATTACGGACAACTACCCTCCAACGTTCTCGTTTTACGCCAAAGTTTAGTTCACATACTAGTCATCCTTGGCTCTCCTTGATGAAACATTGCTTTGAGATGGAATTTTCCTGTTGATGAAGACAACATCAAAGGGAAATGTGTAAAAACTCACCAATCAACTTTTGAACAGCCGAGATGTTTTTCTCGAATTGTTGTGAAGCTTTCGCATAGTCAGCATAGTGAGACCCATGCCTACTACCATGAGCTATAATAATAAACAATGTCATTAAACTAAAGAGTTGCTAGGAAATACTCAAAACTTTAAGTAAAGTGTTGCTGAAGAGTACTACCAGACGTGATAGTACCAGTTCAGCATAAATTACTAGCTTACTATTATGAGCTATGAGTAGGAGCCAACACGGTTATGGATGAAGTGCTTATGAAACTGGAAGTCATACGCTCAATAAAAAGGTCCTCTGGTTTACAACCCAGTGTAACTAGTATGCAAAGGATAAAGGATAAAGCTCTCGGTGCTGATCAATCCCTGAGGGATGCGCCATACATCCGACTTCACTTCGTTGGAGGTGATTGAATCTTGAAATTGAAATCTGGCCTTTACAATCTCACTCGCAGTGGCCTACCGATGTATCGAGCCAGTGCTGCCAACCTCGCAGACAAATCTGGTGCCGATTTCCCGACCCCGGAGGAATGGAAGACTTGGTGGGCCATTGGCGCAGGGATCGATTCCACGTGTGTTGCAGGGCGCCTCGGACCACTGTGCCACACGCGCCGTCTAACCATTATGTATATGCAAAAATTGTCGCCAGAATCTTTTTTTGTTCTCAGCTAAAAGCACGGCCTATAGATGATCTCACGGTTTCAGCTACACATGTTCTATACCCACAGGAAAACCGAGTTTGAACGGATGGTTTCGAGGAAGGTGCTTGAGTTTTCTGTTGTTGTTGTTACTTCGTGAGTCAATATGTTGAGAAATCACGTTGTGCTTTTGTATCCGTATTTAATCGTCGACGATCCCGATGTTCTTCTTCAAATTCATTGCCGTTTTTCGGCAAATATTAGGAGGTCGAGATGAATTGTTTCGATCCAAAACACATTTGCGAGATAATTTACGACGTTGATAAGAGAGAACTGGAATCACTGAAGGAGATCAGTGACAAATTCGAATCGCTCCCATCCTATCAACCCACTTGTGAAATTTTTTCGTTTGAGAGAAGAAAAAACCGGAATACGTTTCATGAGCTGATTTGTTGCGTGCGCTATGATGACAGCATGTCTCATGGGTGGTCTTCAAATAAAAACCACCCCCACAATGGCGAGAGAAGAAACATGAATCTACTATTCGTTTTTTAGATAGTAAAGAATAAAATAGATTAGGGGTGGGATAGCGCAGTGATTAGTAATGTCGTCGATAAGGAAGCAAAGGCGCTAGTTCGATCCCAGCCCCAACCTTCTCCTCCAATCCACGTGGAAACGTCTCAACCCGACTATGTCCATGATTTCAAGGACAGGTAACTCAACGAGCATTCTACGATATTCATAAAGAAAACGAAATCCTCAAGAAGCAGCTGAAACAATGCGAAATGTTCGAAGCTCATTGCGGACGATGAGTGCGAGGAAAACGAATCGAATCCATGAAGCGCTGGGATCAGCACAGCAATAATGATGAGAGATCATGTAAAGTAAAAAAAAGAATAGAATGCAAAACGTGTTCAAGATTACGTTTTATCTCAAAATATGAAAAGTTCTTCGTCATTTTAGAATGATGTTCAAATTTTGTGTCATTTCTCTCCCCGTGATACGAGATGTCTATCTAATAAGAATAACGACATTTCCCCTTTTTCCAAATTCATATGAGCAGTTCTTTAACAAGAAGGAAAATAAACTACTTATCGGAAGTTTAAATAGTATAAGCCATTCTTGATTAAGACATTTCAATTTTAACTTATTATTTACTGCCTACTCTTTTTTAATGACAGGGTATATTGCAAAATATAACTTCAATGATGCTGAAATATTTGCAAAACTACGGTTCGCAGGTGTCTGCGATGGCTAACGAACACACTATTACCCTGTCTAGGGGCTAACGCGTTCACCACCACATCATGTGGACCCTTCGTTTCGCCTGTCTTTCAGCTAGTTCCATCGATCTCTACCATCAGCAATCACCCGTCAGCGGGATTGATCTGGGGAGTCCAAATCGGCAACGAACCCAGTTAAGCTGAGCCGACTGAAATATGGTAAAGATCGATAGAACTAGCTGAGGGACAGGCGAAACGAAGAATCCGCATGGTGTGGTGGTGAACGCGTTAATCCCCGAAAGGGACAATTGCGCGTTCGTTCCCCACGGAATACACCTGCGGTCCGGAGTTTTGCAAATTTCTTAACATCATTTAAGACATTTCAGTTGTTATTTGAATGACTGAAATGTTCTAAATACCATGTCAACTAGTTTTCATCAAAATCACTATGTTGGCTTCGTCGTGGAGTGAAAAACCATTTCCTTTGCCATGGTATTCAACTTGGATACGGTTGAAAATCACTAGGGCTACATATTGATAAATTCATTTCGTTCTGAGATTAGTCGTTCATTGGGATAAAATTAAACTAACAATGAAGGACAGTTTTTTGTCCACATTTAAATCAGCGCGAATCTGCGAATGTCATAGGGTGTGCTTCCTGTTTCATCTTCCTGGTTTAACTTCCACCCGTATGAAATTTAAGGCCGTTCTTCTTTGATGTCGTAAATTTTTTCTTAAATCCACAAACATAGATGTAAGTATAATACCCGATAGACTATTTCGAAGTAAATCTGATAAGCAGAAATAAAGAACGAACCAAGATGAATGTAGATATCCTGTGCACTCCAACCACTGGCTGGCGCTAGTATTTTACCAGTGTTATTATCATATCTACAATAAGGGTACAGTAATATCGTTCATGAACAGACCAAGCGATTAGTTCGTGCTCACTCTAGTGGTCGACGTTGTCCACCTTCACGATAGTACAAACCATGAGCTCCAGGAACAACGGACTGCACCGATGAAAAGACAATCCCCCCCTCGTCAGTTGCTACCTCGACAGGTTCAATTTGTAGACGTACCCATGCTGAAAGCAATTAGAACAAAATTTATGAGTTAAACATTAGCTGTGGCATCATGAAATTGTCATATAACTATGTAGGATTGTCAATCCCTCATATATTCCTCTTAATTAAACGGCTTACCACCTTTATCTCCTATACCATCCAAAACCCGTTAATGATTTATATAATTCGAAGGAGCGCAAGAAAGGTATTCAGCTGTGCTCATTGAACACTAGGGCCCCTTCGTGGCCTCGGCTCACTCATTTTTAGTGTTCTTGAAGATAAGGTGACAGACCATACGTGGATCGTCAGGCTTTGCAGTGGCGCAAAGATTTATTCCTGGCTGAGCTTTTGAATAAAAGCACCAGACATTTAGCTGCCCCAATTGTACAATGTACCATTATGTGAGCTCCACATAGCACCATTCGATTTCCATGAATATCCCATAGTCACGAACAACCGTAAGCCATTGGATTCACCTGAGCTAATTTGAGGCCTGACAAGTACCAGGACCTCGTTTTAACGAAAACTTGGTTCCGAAAAATCCTTATATATTCCATTTTATACCAATTTTACGCCAATTGCTCTGAAAGTCATCATTCTACGTATAAAAATCGTTTTTATTCGGATTTTATAGTGTACCTTAAATTTACTGTTTGTTTCGGGAAAATAATTTCTTTGTTTTAACACAGTCGCTAGCAATGTAGGCTTCTTGATGAATAGTGGTGATTTCTCGATTGGTAGAGCAGTTGAGAAGTTAAAGATTTCATAGGCTTATAGAAGAGACTTCAGTAAACACCCTACTACATATATAAAAAATAAAGCTCTCGGCGTTGATCAATCTCTGAAGGATTTGCAATGCATTCGACTTCATTAAGCATCGTTTGGAGGTGATTGAATGCATATCTGATCTTTGCAATGACTCACGCTGGCCTACCGATGTATCGAGCCAGTGCTGCTATCCTCCCAAACAAACCTGGTACCAATGTGTCTGAGGGATGGAAGGTTTGGTGAGCCATGAGCGCTACTATCGATTCCACGTGTGTGTCGCAGGGCGCCTCCGACCACTGCGCCACACACGCTCACCACTACATATATTTGTATATATAATTTCCTCAAAATGTTCTTTTAGCCTACTAATTCTCTGAGACTAAATTTTTTGAAAAATTGGAAACGAAATGAAATTTCGTAAAAAACCGGTTTTTTTGAAATTTCCCATGTAATCGCTGATGTCGCTATTGCGGTACACCGTCACGTTTTGTCGCACAAAATCTCACTCATTCAACCGTTCATTCACTGTTGGAAATATGAGCTTGAACGAAAAATGACGTTTTGTGACTGGCAAAAAGTCAGAGCTTTGTCATGCAAAGTAATATACTTCGTATTTTGTTGGCAAACATCTATCGAATTCGTTCGGTTTTATTTCAATAAGTAAAGTTCCCTACGAGCTGAGATACGCTTGTTCAAATTAGGAAATGACTTTCGCTCCTCCTTTCCTGAGGTTAAGCTGTCATCTCACATGCCTTTATTTACTTGACAACACACCGCAACATTATAATGAAATTTAATCAGCTATATATATATACATGTATATATATGAATACTGACATACATTAATGTTCATTTAGTGGCAACAGTGAATATAATAAGGATAACTATAGAATCGCAATAATCATAGGGTCAAAATTACTTGTTGACAATCAATTCGTTATTTTCAGAGAAGAAACTGCATCTGAAAAAAATTGGCCTTTCCACTCAACTTGAGCACTGACGATAGCTTAAGAGCGCCATCGGTTCGTTACTTGCTTCGGTACCATGCATTTATTGTATAGTAGGGCAAACAGGGCCGTGCTTCCACGGGGCTTTATGTGTTGCGATGCTCGAAATCGCCCATTACTCAGATCAATCACCTCAGTGTTCTTTTCACTTTTATTCATTTGCACTAATCGCTCTAATATTCTTTCCTCCTTTTGTCAAATATTGAGCAAACGCTCAGAAAATCGGAAGAACAAAGATTAATTATAGAGTAGGTGGCAGTCCTAAACGCGTGAATCACGTATCACCATTGGTGCTAGTCATAAGATCGGAATTTTATATCAAGAATGTGGGAACTTGCACTTGCTTGTGGAAACGTATACAATGACTACTTCATACTTGAAGGCTTGCAGAGGAGAAACTTTTGAAACACTACACTAAAATCAGTAATAACATGATAATAAAAATATTAGTATTAATAGTGGTAGTTAAATCTTCGTGAATACACCAACTGATTTCCAGTTATAAATTGAAGGGAAGAAGAACTCGACTGCCCTAAAGTGAGAGGGCCAGCTAAGTCTGCTTTGCGTTCGAAACTCGATTTAGGCTTTTTAAATATGAATCCTTCTAACGGTTTGCAGCTTCATCGTAGCTGGCAGGTGTTCCTGGGTATCGGGGTGCGATGTACAGCATGGGAATTCATGTTCTCGACAGGGTCTTCCAAGCTGAGAAGGAGTCCGGAGTTTCCGTTAGGAAGCTCAGCTAAGAGTAAACCAATACCAGGATCCACCATCGTCTTGGTATCAAACTAGTCGCGTGATGGCAAATCTCCATCTGATCCACAATGCCGGCGACTTCTCGTGGTGGTGACGACCTGGAGCAGACTTTGGCCAGGCTGACTTCAGGGCTCCAGGGAACCACAACGGCTAAACCAACAAAACTTCGAAGAAACGATGAAGTGGAGAATATGCTGGAGGCCGCACAATCAGTGAGGAGGGGCCGCCCAAGCATCCAAGTAAACACGAATGTATTGCAAAACTCATGAGTCGCCGTAGATTGTCTCCGTATTTTCAAGCTCTCTTTCAACTCAAGAATGTTTATGATATCAAGATCAAAAAGATTAACGTGAGAAAAACAGGATAGTAGTTATGTTTGTAAATTTTATTGAGTTTATCTTATTGTCTTTACAATGAGAATTATTTAGCTTCATCCTCTCTTCCAAACATATAAAGAGGTTTCATCATTTTGCTCTGTTTTAGCCATATTTTCAACCGATGACGAACACTGTCTGTTTTCAACTGCTATGGCTCTGAACAATGAATGCAGTGTTCCACGGCGCCGTCGATCAATACCCCCAACACATTGCTAATGATTCCAGAATTTACTGGGATTCAGAGATGAAAGGTTAGAAAGGCGAAAATTTCGCACGTATTGATTATATTGACTATAAAGTGTACATGAAACCGCCTCTACAACTTACTTTTAGACAGCGGACTTAGCACATCAGTGGTCATCACGTAATCTGAAAAATCACGAAGTGTAAGGGAATTTTCAGTTGCATTAGACGAATAGAAAGTTGATGGACGAACGTATACGCAAAAATGTAGTGTAGTGCCAATTTAACAACAGGAGAATAGTTCGATATGTTGTATGAAATGAAATACAAGAACAGTACAGTTAAAGAGCATCGGATATGAACGTGACGAAGACACGCTGAAGGACGTGCTGCTGGCTGCAGCCGCCTTATGTTTAACTGAAAGCCCACTCAAATGAGGAGAAAGAAAACTTCCCGCCCCTTCAGGCAAGTCGTGTTGCTTCGACAACGATGTTGGCGGTTCCGTCAATACCATTATATACGTCACTACTGACGGAAAGTAGAAAACATTCTGCAAAATGCATTTCAGGTAGACAATACTTTCACATATTAGGGTCACAGTGTTTACTTTCGCGTTTTCTTTTTCTCTTTCAGCCAATAAGAAGCAAAGAGTTATAAGAATGGTTTTTCATAGGTGTACAGTCTCCGGATTGGTTTTATCGCATAGATCTCCCATGGACGTCGAATAACACTGGAATTAGGACACCATGTTTACCAATGAAAACTGTTTCTCTGTGAAAAGTAGCTATGTACGTGACATATCTAACTGTACAATGTTGCTTAAAGCATTAGACGTTAAACAGTAAGATGAAGTCCGTAACAACAGTAAGTATCTGAGTCTAACTACCCCTGTGATTCTTTCCAATAATGTTGGGGAATGTTATGCTGGCCGAACATATTCAGAGTCTCATTATTCACATGTGGATGTTCTAAGTATATGTGGAACGCATTTGTTGTTCCGCATTCTGTACGAAATCTGAGTTCGATCGGGCATAATATGCAAACCGACGTTCCGACAGTCCATTGTTCCACTATAGTTATCATGAACCGCGTTTAACACAACTGCGACACTCATATGATTATCCTAAGAAAAGTGTTTGGTGGGGAAGATCATCTAAGGAGTCAAAGCGTATAATGATAGATATTGGATGGTCAAACGGAGGCTGGATAAAGAAGAGACACGTTAGTTTCTTAAGAAATCGTGTTGAAAGGAGCGTATGGACGAGAACCGCCAATGATTTGCCGAGCCTTCTTAAATGGGGTCAACATCGGTGATATCCAGCAAACGAATCAATAACAAACTTATTAAAAATACGTACGAGTAAGGGTCACAACAGAAGGAAACGAGATAAATCTCGTCAAAAGTACACGGTAGCAGTCGATAGTAAAGAAATTTGAGTTTTCCATAGATAGACAGTTTTACTAAGGAGAACAGAAAGATAGCAACAACGTCATTACTATTAAAAATATATGGAACGAGAACAGAAAGAGACTCCTGCTTACTTATTAGGTTTAACAAGTCGCATCGAAAAAAAGCCATCCGATAAGAACTAAAGAAACCAAATAGGAGGAAACCTAGTCACAAGGTCATACACATCTTTGCGTTCCACCACAGATGACGACAGTCTATGGCAATCACCTGAGGACGCTCTAGAAACGGATGTCTCGGGCTTTCTTTATTAGTTTTCCAACAGTTGTGCTTACTTTACTATTAAGCACGAATCGACCAACTATGCAACTAATCATTGCTAATTCTTGACTAGAAACTAAGATGAGGAAATATATTTGATAACAAATGTGAAAAACAATAGTTCTAAGAGAGTGGTTTCATAGGGAAACCTCTAAAAAATGGTAGATGGAGGATTTCGTTTTGATGAACGAGCCTAGTGCAATGAGAATAGGAGTGGCGAGATGTAGGCAAGGAAAGAAATGTCATTTGTCATTATACAGGATTCACCATGTGTACACAAAAATCACTATAACACGAGTTCTCATAATACATACAGAGTACCGTCCTCTATTCAATACAATGACAAGAATTATATTAAGGAATTAAAGTGCACGTAAACAGTGTTTTTCTAAGGTAGTACGATGTGACATGATATGATGAATTCGTGAAAAAGGAACAAAATAAACTGCTCAGTGTGTAATATGATTGATATGTAAATAAGAACAGTGTGAACCGTTTAACACACCAAACAATTACGGCATTTGTTTGCAAAATCCTGGCTAGGTCTGGATAACTCCGTTCGCTGAACGATTCGATTAATACGTTGTACTCACACACAACTACATCGCTTAATTACTCACATACGAT